TAGAATAGAATTCTTTATTGACCAAATGTGATTAGACACACAAGGAATTTGTCTTTGGTGCAGATGCTATCAGTGTAAAAAGGCAAGATACACTCATGAAGAATCGTAAGGTACAATACATAATGTACATAGGGTACAGATAAGCAATCAGGAACAATCAATATCAATATAAATCATGAGGATACAAGCAACAAACGTACAGTCATGCAGTCATAAGTGGGAGGAGATGGGTGATAGGAACGATGAGAAGACTAATAGTAACAATAATGCAGCCTTAGTGAATAGTTTGACAGTGGTGAGGGAATTATTTGTTTAGCAGAGTGATGACATTCGGGGGGAAACTGTTTGTGTGTCTAGTCATCTTGGTTGCAGTTCTCTATATGGTTGTTTTGAGAATAGAAGTTGAAACAATTTCTGCCCTGGATGTGAGGGATCTGTAGATATTTTCACAGTCTTCTTTTTGCCTCGTGCAGCGTACAGGTCCTCAATGAAAGGCAGGTTGGTAGCCATTGTTTTTTCTGCAGTTCTAATTATCCTCTGAAGTCTGTGTCTGTCTTGTTGGGCTGCAGAACCAAACCAGACCGTTATAGAGGTGCAGATAATAAACTCAAGACTTGAGCTATCTGTTCTTGGATGGGTATCATTATTTGAGGATGTTTCAGGCTACGGACATTAACAAACTAACACCGAACATTCATCAACTAAGCTACCTTGGGTGTAGTGGTTAGATAGAAGCAAGGAGACCCGACATCACCTAGTCTCACCTTGGGCATGAAGCCAGTTGGGTGACCTTGACTTTCTCTCAGCCTAGGAAGAAGGTGGCAAAAACATTTCTGAAAATCTTGCCAGAAAGACCGCAGGGAGTTGTCCAGTTGGTTTCTAAGAATTGGACATAATTGAATGGAAGGCTAATGCATTTGTTCGTCTGACCACAATTATGCAATCCTGAGGAACAACTGCCAAAAAAGCCAACACAGTTCTAAGCTGCATAAACAGAGGGATAGAATCAAGATAACGTGAAGTGATAGTACCAGTTTATCATGCCTTGGTAAATCCACACTTGGAATACTGCATTCAGTTTTGGTCACCACGATGTAAAAAAGAAGTTGAGATTCTGGAAAGAATGCAGAACCAAGAGGATTAGGGGACTGGAGGCTAAAACATATGAAGAAAGGTTGCAGGAACTGGGTCTGTCTAGTTTAATGAAAAGAAGGACTAGGGGAGACATGATAGCAGTCTTCCAATATATCTGGGGCTGCCCCAAAGAAGAGGGAGTCAAACTATTCTCTAAGGCACCTGAGGGCAGAACAAGAAACAATGGATGGAAACTAATCAAACAGAGAAGCAACTTAAAACTAAGGAGAAATTTCCTGACAGTCAGAACAATTAATCAACAGAACAACTTGCCTCCAGAAGTTGTGAATGCTCCAACACTGGAAGTTTTTAAGAAGATGTTGGCTATCCATTTGTCTGAAATTGTGTAGGGTTTCCTGCCTAAGCAGGGGGTTGGACTAGAAGACATTCAAGGTCCGTTGCTACTAGAACCGGTTCGGGGGCGTGGCTAGCTGAATTACTACCTACTCGGCCGAACCGGTCCAAATCAGCAGGAACCCACCTCTGGTGCTTAATGTGGCTTGCAGTTCTTCAACCAGAAAATGTGCTTTGAAACAGTAATGGTATTCTATCTTCTTCACTATGGGTTCGGTAGCGGAAGCGCATGCGCAGAAGATCCTTGAGGACATCTGGGTAGGTGGGCGGAGCCTCACGTCACCACCACTACTGGTTCGCCCGAACCGGTGCGAACTGGGAGCATACCACCTCTGCTTTGACAGTACTGTATTGGATTTTCAGGACTACTCTAACTGTTTGAAGCAAGCCGCATTTTCTTAGAAGATAAAAAGCAAAGAAACAACCCAAGCTAGCCTTTAAATTGGTGTCCTCAATCTAGGTTTTATTTAAGGAGGAAGTTTTGAACTTGCTTATCTGTCATCGGAGTCCGCGGGAGCGTTTTTGAATTTGGCTCTGGACTTGTTGACTGAATTTTGCTTGCGGTCGCTTTTTAAAAAAAGGAAATGGGTAGAGAGAGGAGCACCGGGGGATGTTTCCAGCATTTTAATTAAGTGTTTTAAATTCACTGCCTTGTATTGATGTTAATCCAAGCCTGAGTGGTTTTAAACAGCAGCAGCCAAAGGATTTTCAAATGATGAAAATTGCCTGTAGCTGAGCAACGGATTTAATTTCAGGCTTTTTGAGAACATGAGGTAACGCTGCAGCCCGAAAGTTGGAATCGCCTCCCATCTAAACTCTGGATGAAACACTAGCAATGTAGAATCATAAAAACAACATGAAAACCACCAGACGTTCCCTGCATGGAAAGCTGGGTTTGAAATCTCTTTTGCATTTCTGGTCCTGGAGATTCTCAGCCAACCAGTTTAGATTATTTATGTTCTATATTTATTTGTGTTGTATTTTCTTCCAAGAATCCTGGGGACAGTTGTTTTCAACATAGCACATAGAATCATAGGGATAGAAGGAACTTAGAGGTCTTCTAGTCCAACCCCCTGCTCAAAGCAGGAAACCTCATGTCATCCCACTCAAGCTTGTAAAGCAGAGGTTTGTGATTTACCTATTTGACATGGTAATTAAATTGAGTTGCGAATTGAGTGAATATGACAATAGAGGAACAGCTAAGCATGGGTCAAAATCTATGAAACATGGACATATATAGAACCTTTAAGATAATGAACAAAGTGAGATGTTTACTGCGTGTTACTTTATATAATACATTCGGGGAAGTATAATGAACACTGACCAGCGAAGATTGTCATCTAGAGATAATTAAGGGTAATCTAATCCAAGGCATAGAAAAATGGAGAGGGAACATGAAATATACCTACAATGGGAAACTATTGTGATAAAAAGACAGAATCACAAACGGATGTACAACTATATAAAGATAATGATCTATATAAAGATAATGATGAGAATAGCTGGGAACAGTCTACAGCTTGACCAAAATTAGGTTGGGGGGGGTGTTTAAAAGCACAATGACTATATATGTATACTTTTCTGTTATACCACTTTGCGTGCCAAAATCCCAAAGTTCTACTTTTCTCTCCCTTCACTGCCTCTCATTGCCCACCCCAATATCACCAATCAGGTTCAGGCAAGATGTTTTCATAATGGTCAGTCCAAGCACAATTTCATGTGCAGCTCCCCTCCTTCTCCCTGCTAGGTGACCTTAAGGCATCATCTCAGGAAACATAGCATTTACTTTCATTTCCCCAAGCCTTCCCCCTTCAATCCTCTCCACAGTTCATGGCAGGCTGTTGCCGCACAAGCAAGCAACTGACACAAACAGTTGTTCAGCCTTTCTTGAAAACCTCCAGTGATGGAGCACCCACAACTCCAGGAGGCAAGCTGCTCCATTGATTAATTGTTCTCACAGTCAGAAAATATTTTCCTTCCTTCTGATTGGATCTTTCTTTAATGATCTTATTATTCTGTTATCTTCCACCCACTGTTTCTTGCCTGGGCCCCCTGCGATATGGAGAACAAGTCAAAAGGAGATAAACGGCCTTGCTGTGCTGAACATTTTCATGCTCATTCAGCTGGATGAGAGTTAGTTTCGAAAACCATATTTCCATGTTTAACATCTTTATTAGGTTATAAGATAATATACAAAAGTAAATAGGAAGACACAGCGGGGGGAGGGGAGAGAAAAGTGAGGAGAAACTGGGGAAAAGGAAAAAAAGAAAAATAAATGTTGACTTCCGACTCCCTCTGTTGCAGTGTTAAAAAAAGCATTAACATCAAACCACAACTTTTTGTTTTCCCATAATAATATACACTAGCCATTTCTATCAGAAATGAGTTTCACATAATTTTACCACTGGTGTGCTGCGCACCGAAACTGTGAGCATGCGCCTTCCACACACATGCACAGTGTTCCATGCATGCATTTTGCGCACATGTGGCTTGCACACATGCACAAGGCTTAGAAAACAGGGCTAAATAGGACGGCATAGTTTTGGGGCACATGGGCAGCCCCCCCCCCCACAGGTTCCCACTACCAGTTCTCCCAAACTGATCTGAACTGGCTGAATACCATCCCTGATTTCTTTCTTTTTTCTTTTTAAAGTAAATGAGATTAAGAGTAGGAAACAGAGGAGAGAGAGGGAAGAAGAAAGAGAGAGGAGAAAGGGCAAGGAGGGGGGAAGAGGAGGAGTGGAAAGGGGAGAGAGGAGAAGGGGAAGTAGAGAAGGGAAGAAGGACAGAGGGAAGAAAGGAGATGGGAGGGAGGAAAGAGGGAGAAGAAAGTGATGGATAAGGTACAAATATGGTGTATGGAGAAATTGTTTCTCCAATAAGAGCCAATTATTGTTTTTGGGGAGTTGATGGGAGTTCATCTTCATTTAAGATGAATTGATGTAAACATTTAATAATACAATACGATGCTGGCTATGTAATAGTATATATGTGATTATATGTTATGAAAATGAAAAAATAAATAACTTTACACCACTGATTTCTATAAAAATATATATCTTGCCTCCCCTGGTCCTTCTCTTCCCTAGACTAGACATCCCCAGTTCCTGCAACCATTCTCCATATGTTTCAGCCTCCAGTCCCCTAATCACTTTTGTTACTCATCTCTGCCCTCTTTCTAGAGTCTCCACATCTTTTTTATAGTATGGTGACCAAAACTGGATGCAGTACTCTAGGTGTGGTACATTATGTTATTATACATTAACCTTCTGGTTTGGTTAATTGATAGTTCAAGCTTTGGCCAAAGCCAGAAACATTTCAGTAGCCAGCTGAAGCTTCGGAAATTGCAACCTGAGAGGGATTTGGCCACAAATGCTCCATTTGCTGATTCGTTGGTTTTGCAAACCAGGCTCTTGAGATCTAGAGGCTTCCTGGTGTGTTTTTTAAGAGGAGTCCTGTTTTGCTGGTCTTCCATGGTAAAAGTATTGAGTTTTGTCTATTTCTCTTTCCAGGTCATTAGCTGGAGGCGTAAAGAAAAATTCATTTTGTGACTGAAGAAAAATCCCATTGAATACAATGGCCCTGATGCTGCTCAATCGGCACACAACATGGGCACTGCAACAGAGTTCCAGGATATTTGCAGGAGGTGAGTGGGACAGAAAAAGAGTTTATGTATCTATATACAGTATCTACGGACGCGGTGGCTCAGTGGCTAAGACGCTGAGCTTGTCGATCAGAAAGATGAGAAAGGTCGGCAGTTCGAATCCCTACCGCCACGTAACAGAGTGAGCTCCCATTACTTGTCCCAGCTTCTGCCAACCTAACAGTTCGAAAGCATGTAAAAATGCAAGTAGAAAAAATAGGAACAGCGTTCCATGTGCCTTCGGTGTTTAGCCATGCCAGCCACATGACCACAGAGACGTCTTCGGACAACGCTGGCTCTCCGTCTTTGAAACAGAGACGAGCACTGCCCCCTAGAGTTGGGAACGACTAGCACTTATGTGCAAGGGGAACCTTTACCTTATACAGTATCTGTACAGGTTGTCCTCAACTTACGGGCCCAAAATATCTGCTCTTAACTGAGACAGTTATTGAGTGTGATGTGCCCTATTTTACGACCTTACTTGCCATAGTTGTTAAGTGAATCACTGCAGTTGTTAGTAACAGGGTTGTTAAGTGTATCTGGCTTGCCCACTTAACTTTCCTTGTTAGAAACTTGCAAAAGAGGATCACATGACCCCAGGAAACTGCAACCATCATAAACATGAGTTGCTAAGCACCTGGATTTTGATCACATGACTATGGGGATGCTGCAATGGTCGTAAGTGTGAAAAATGATCATAAGTCATTTTTTCAGTGCCATTGTCACTTTAAGCAGTCACTAAATGAATTGTTGTAAGTCAGGAATTACCTATATATCCATATATTCTATATCTATATCTATTTATATCGGTAGATGATAGCTAAATGTGTATTTTTTATTCAAAAAAAGTTAAAATATAAAACTACAAAAACAAAATGTTTTTACAGAAATAAAATATGTCAAGGCAATGATGATTTAATGATTTAATAGCTGGCCAGCTGCTGTAATGATGATGCAATGGTAGTAATGAGTCAGCAGGGTTATTTGACCACTTTAAGAGACTGTATTATAAGAAAGGTTTGATGGTCTCTCTCGTGTGCTTCCGTGCTATAGTTGATGATTGATTGCCTGACTTTCCCCTGTACATGTATGTATATATTCCTTGTATATAAACCACTGTTTGAAAGACAAACCTGTTTACTGTATTTTGCTCCTGGGTTGTCTCAAAATAGTCACAATGTGTGCACGCTGACAAAATAAACTCAAACAAGATATTTTAATATGTACATCAAAAAAAAAGGACACAGAAACATATTCAATTAAAATAGAGCTGGAAGGGACCTTGGAGGTCTTCTACTCCACCCCCTGCTGAAGCAGGAGATCTATACCATTTCAGACAAGTGACTGTCCAGTCTCTGCTTAAAAACCTCCAGTGACAAAATACTCAAAGCTTCTGAAGGCAAGCTGTTCCACGGGTTAATTGTTCTCACTGTTAGGAAGTTTCTCTTTGATTCTCCTCGATTACCATATTTTTCAGTGTATAAGATGCACCTTTTTCCCTCAGAAAAGAGGGTGAAAATTTGGGTGCATTTTATACACTAAATATAGCATTTTTTGGCCTCCCAAAACCTTGTCCCCTTCACCAAAATGGCCGTGCATAGCCTTTAGGATAAAGTGACCAGATTTTAACATTGGTAAAGCAGGACACCATTGACCGGGGGGGGGGGGGGGTCTTGATTAAAAATTTGGTCTATATGGTCCATGGTCCATACACACCACACCCAAATATGCCTACGGTCCTCGGCTTTAGCACAACAGATGCCCTTAGGTTTTTACCTACACAACCCCCTACATTTTAAGTTGGTTTTTTTTTTT